AAGTGGGGATACAGGCTCTGAATTCTCATTCTGACAGAGCGCCCCAAGAGAAAACTCTCAGGAAACACTTGTTTTCCGTTCTCTTTTTCCTAACCCAGCCTTTATTGAAATTGGGAACCGAGATGGGTGCCCAAGGGGGCCCCCCCAAGGGTGAAAAACCAACTTCCTTGATAAATTCCTGTCCTTTCATCTTGGGACTCTTTGTGTCCTCTGAATTTTTTCCCCCCCAGCAATCGGAGATTAAGAAGTCACTCTGATGTCTAACTGCAATCCCTATCGTTGTTCCATTCTACTTTGAGGAAGCTTTTGAATTGCCTTCAAGGAATGTGAAAAGTGAACCCTTTTATGAGCCTTTAGAGAGTTGCCAACCTTCTGAATCTTGGAAGGACTGAGCAGGAAGGACTTTTAGGGTTCGCCTGGTCACCACGATCTGCCTTCAGCAAAGCAGCTGTTCTGTAGCGGTTAGTCCTTTATGCTGGCAACAGCTCTGGTTACACTTTGCCCTCAAACCACAGTCTATCATTTACTAGCCCTTTGACTTTGAACAAATTAACCTGTTGGTGTTTGTTTTCCCATTTGTAAGAAAGTATAATAGATCGTCATGGGAATTTTATGCTTACATGAAATATCTTTGCATGGTTTAGCACTACACAAAGAGTGTCCCCCCTACCCTCATCTTTCTACAGATCATGAAACCTGAAGCCTAGAGTGGCCCAGAGGTCTCAAGTTCATGGAGCTGTCACTCAGGTCCTTGGCCAGATCTCAGCTCCACAATCCCAAGCAGCTGTCTGCACCGTGTCTCAGTAGCCTCAGCTTGCTTTTGTTTGTTGGCTGTGGAGAACACCTTGAAATACATGCTTTTGGTTAGTCCCTGACTGGTAGGGGGTGGAATGTGGGACGTGGGAGGAGACTGTCTTTCTATTCTTACTTCAATACTTATTTCAATACTTCCTCTTGTTTCAAAACAGGCATTTGAAGCAGGGGCATCTTGTCAACCCAACTCACATTTCATCCCCAAGTACTCTCATGATGTTCACCCAGTACCTCACCCTGTCCAACCTTAGATAAGGATGGAGGCTCCAGTGACTGAGCATGGTGATTCATACATGAAATTCCCACTTTCTGAGCCCGAGGCAGGAGAATCAGGTATTCAAGGCCAGCCTCAGCTACACAGTGACACATTGTTTCCAAAGAAAGAAAAGGAAAGAATGGTCTTAGCAAGGATGACATAACTGTAATGTTTGCACTCTAGAGTGGAGGACAATGAGGTGGTGAGACACTTTATTAAAAAACAAAAACATGCCTGGCAGGGGTGGCACACGCCTTTAATCCGAGCACTGGGGAGGCAGACGCAGGCGGATCTCTGTGATTTTCTGGTCCTGCAAATCCTGGGCCTCCACCCTTGGTCACGGATCCTGCTGGCACTTTCAGTTTGAGGTCAGCCTGGTCTATAGATGGAGTTCAGGACAGCCAGAGAAACCCTGTCTTTAAAAAAATTAAAAAACCAACCCCCCACCCAAACCAACCAACCAACCAAACAAACAAAAAATAGTATTCTTCATTTTTCTTGCCAACCTCTCTGTCTCTCTGTGTATGTAGGTGCAAATCCTGGGCCTCCACCCTTGGTCACGGATCCTGCTGGCACTTTCAATACTCAACCGGAAGTCAGAAAGAAAACACAGAGAACCAGCGCCATCTGGTGGACATTATACTTTCAGGCGGTAGTTACAGAATGATGATGCTTGGGAAGGCAGGGGTGTGCCCTCCAACATTTCTGTGGGGCTTTCTTCAACCTGGGGGGGGGGGTGAGGTGGGGAGATCGGAG